TTGAACCGATTTCAAACCGACCCTTTTTCAAACCGAATCGAAACCGAACTGTCAAACCGTTTTTACAATACTAATCCAAATCAAACACTTAAAATTGAAAACGAAAATTTGTCAAAAAGGGGCTTTTAAGTAGCTAGGCCACTTTGTGGTAAATGTCCTTTTATATAAAAAAAAAAAGGAACACCAAAAGTCCTTTTATCACACTTAAATTGTGACGAGAGTCATTTGATCAAATTCCGGCCATATACTTTTTTTTTCCGGCCATAAAAAGTCGCATGAGTTTCACGTGACTACTTAAAATCATTTTTTTTTCCCTTTTAAATTTCCAATCAAATAAATATTGAATTATAAGATAAACCCATAAATATTTGTAAATGATCTACTTCGTAATAACGTTGATTTATAAGATAAACCAATAAATATTGAATACGGTATAATATACATGAAGATCCTTAAATCTAGTGCAACTACTATAGTTAGGATTCATAGGAGTCTAGCTAACAAAGTATGGAGTAAACGTTTTTAAGTTCCAATTTCTCCCCTTAAAATCCTGTTCTTATACAATGGCGGACGAATTACCGACGGATTTGTGGACGCAGATCTTAGCGAGGGTGACGGTGAAAAGCTTAATAAGATTGAGGGTGTTTGTAAAAGCTGGTGTTCAGTAATTGATTCTTGTGATTTTATTATATTTTTGCATCATCAAATTTATATTTTATATCACAAGCTGGTGTGTTTGTATGTGAAGGCCATGGGATTATATAAATCTACCGTTTATAGTATCGACACATTAAAAAATAATGTACTTTTCAAAACTCCTGATAATTGTGTTGTATAAGCAAGGAACTGTTATGGATTAATTTTGATACATTCCTTTGATAAAACAACGCCTAAAGAAGAGATGATGGTTTAGACATTTTTAAGAGGAGTTGAGTACTGAATAAACGATCGAAACCAAGGTTTTTGGCAGGACGGTTGAATCTAGAAGAAGATCGTTAAATTTTCTTCATGTCTTCTTGAAGAGGCTTCATGTGAGTGTTATGTTGCTTATTCTTCATCTTTACTTTAAATAATGGTTCTGTAATACTTATACGAAATTGATGTATGTTTAACATGGTTTAAATCTATTTCACCCTTAGTTTTCATACTAATGTTACTTCACCATTTAGTTTGAAGTGTTATGTTGCTTGTTGCCACACTAAGAATCACTAACGTACCAAGAAGTGAACACTTTATTTGAGATCTCTAGTGATGGAAATTTATATGTTTTTCATCATTTGGAAATTGGAATAGGGTACTTATTGAGATGTTCTTTAGAGTGTGAACGAACTAGCAAGTGTTATGTATGTTGCTTGTTTTTCATCTTTACTTTAAACGGTTTTGTAATACGAGATTACTGTAGTGTTATGTTCCTTGTTCGTCGTTATGTTTAATTTATTATAAATCCAATTTACCTTTAGTTCTCGTACTAATGACCTAATATCAGTTCACCAATTTACTTAATTATATATAAGAAAAAACATCTATTTAAAAAGAAAAGACATAATTAAGTGGAATGTTGTTAAAATTCTTTCAACATGTATAAAATATACAAGTAGTTTATTAGTTTTTATTTTACCGACAATAACTAAAGTTGTTTTTATTCAAATTTAATGCATTAAAAATCTGAAAATCAAAGTTGTTTTTATTTTGTACAAAATCTAAAATAAACTTCCTTAAATATTAAATTGTCCGTTATAACTATTACACGTTTAATTATTTTCTTTCACATATATTTCATACTTTTTAATACTGAGTTTGTTCATAATATTTTATATCAGTTCTTTTTGATAAAATTTATAGTCACTGTAATAATTTAACAACTAAGCAATGCACGGGGTTTAATCTAGTTTAAAATATTTATGTATAAAAACCAAACCTAAAAGCACCATTAAGTCCAATCAATTCAGTTGATATACTATCCAATTTATTTGTAGTATGTGAGTTGCAAGTTAAGATGCATCATACATATTAATTTACCTAATTATACTCAAGATGACACGATACGGCTAACTCTAATTAGTCATATAAACTTGACTCGACTAGCTCAAGTTGAACACTTTAATCGAAGAATTCTAGTCAACTTACTCATATTGGTCATACTAACTTGATCCGCTTTAATTGAACACTTTATTTAAAGAATTTTAGTGACATAAATTTATAGCCCGTGCTTAATTATAGTAAAGAGATGAAAGCTAAGGATTGAAAAGTGAGAAAAAAAAAAAAAAGAAAAAGAAAAGGACATAAAAGATACTATTTAATATTTATAAAGTAAGCAAAACAAATTGCAGTCTCCGTTTTTATTAAAATCTTATAACTAACACACCAATGTTCGTATGTCTAAATCACACATTTACACTGAAAATTAATCAAGAAACGAAAGAATAAATCTCAGTTGGACCTAAAACTGAGAAATCATACTTATTGACACACTAAGTATCGCTAACATACCTAGAATTATTCAGAACATTTCTGTACTATGACATAAACCAAACTCTAATTTTGTACTAACAATCAAACTGATGACTCTAGAAATAAGCTACTGACATGCCAAGAAATAACAGATTTCTGAAGCAACTATATTCTGTCTTCCTGTTGCCACTTCCCTCATCTTAATCACTCTGATCAGACGTTTCACCCTGCGAGTCTTTCTGCCATCAGTCGGGCATTTTCAGAAGCAGCAGCTGTGTTACTGTCGTCGATATCACCCTCAGACTCTGCAGCTGCACTAGTGATGATAGCAGGCTGCAGTTGAAATGTAGGCCAGGGCCAGGCAGATGGTACTGATGTGCTGCCAGAAGGCGCATTCCTCGGCGCAAGAAAAGGGTGTTTCAGGAGTTGAGTTATTGTAGTTCCGACATCTGCAGGAAACACACACACCTGAATGAAGCTCTTAAGCCCTAGGTCTTGTACCTTTTTCAATAGGCTCATATCCATTATTCGCGATGTGCTGTCTGCAGCATCCTTATTCACCATCTGCAGCGCGCACAACCCAACACAGTATATCTCAGACCGCTCTATCATTCGAGTAATAACAGCATCATACTCAGGACTATCAAGAGTCTTCGCCACACTCAAATCTCCTAGCTTAATCATGCCTGAGTTACCAACAACAAAGATGTTTTTGCACTTGAGATTACCATGAATAATCGGTTCATCTTGACTGTGAAGAAAATCGAGTCCTGTCAGAATCTGTTGACACCATTTCTTGATTACTGGACTGTTTTCTTTAACCTGATGTTTCTGAGTGTAATCCTTCAAATTCCCAGAATAAAGCTCAGTAATCATGTTAAACTCAACTTTGGTTTCTGATTCAAAAACCCAATAATGGTAGCATTTGATTACATTTTCATGATCAAATCTGTTTAAAGACCTAGCTTCTCTCAGCAAATGAACAAGATTATTAAGTTTTAGAAATTTCTTACACCAAGCAACTTCTCTGCCATTAGTCTCATCATATCCCAAATAAACTTCTTTAAGATCGTCCTCATCAATCAGCTTACTGTACCTTGTGTATTGCCCTGTCGGATCTGTCTCCTCAACCGTATAATCGTCTCCTCCGCTTGAACTCGAACCCGCCATTACTAGTTAAGAACAACTGAACAACAGAAAAACAGAACTAAAGAAAGATTTGCAATGGAATCAAGCTAAATTTTGTTGAGTTATTAGAAGAAAAAACAGAATGTTGTTTGAAATAATGGGTTGAAGATGAAATGATTTAGAATGGTAGTGTACAAGGGTATTTATAATAGTTAGTGTTTGGTTGTTACTTATAATCAAACTATTTTATATATAAACCAATTAATATTCAATTTATCCATTTGTTGTAGTCAGTTAAGTCACTTATCAAGATCAAGAATTAGAATATACCCTTTTCTTGATTTTTAATTTACCCTTAATTCAATAAAGATTTTTTTTTTATTTTTTTATTTAAGAGATATTTCTTAAAGGTGATTAGTAACTAATAAAAATCGTCTTTTTTCTGAACAATTATACTACTGTTATGATTTTCCCGTCAAAAAAAATTTACTGTTATGATTTTTATTTTTTAATCATAATCATTATAGAGAAGCTTATAAAACATTCAATTATTTTCAAATATAATATAAATTTCTTACATTTGTCCATTATTAATTAAGAAATTTTTTGGTGTTCATAATTCCATATTTTGTTGATGGCTTAAACCGGTCAACTAAACTATTGGTAGGTCTAGTTAAACACATTTGTTTTAAGTTAAAGTGGATCTACGATCTACCCGTAGTAGTAGTTTAAAGTGATGGAGGTAAAAATATTATTAGCGGTTCACCGTTTACATATTGGTCATTAGTCCTATTTATCTTATTTTATTTGAAGTACTGGTAATATTGAAAGACCCTTTAGTACAGATGACACGATAATACCACACACTAGCTAGCTCTAATAATTGTCATACTAACTTGATTCGGCTCAAGAATTGAACACTTTATTTGAGATCTCTAGTGATGGAAAATTATTGCCCGTGCTTAAGACGCTTAATAGTAATTAAGTTATAAAGTAACGAGACGAGAGTATTCAAAAGTATAGAAATTATATGTGGAAAGACACTAATTACACAGTAAGAAAATCAAATTGCATAGTCTCACATTTCATTAAAATCTTATAACTAACACACCAATATTCATATATATAAATCACACACCGCTAACAAATGACAATGAACATACGAAAGATTTAAATCACAGTTGGACCTAAAATTGAGAAATCATACTTCTTGACACACTTCAGTATCACTATTAACATGCCTAGAATTATTCAGAAAATTCCTGTACTATGACATAAACCAAAGTCTAATTTTGTACTAAAGAATTAAACTGATGAGCCTAGAATAAGCTACTGCCAAGAAATAACAGCCTTCTGATGCAACTACATATTGTGTCTTCCTGTTGCCACTTCCCTCATTGTATCTACTCCGATCAGACGATTCACCTTGCAAGTGTTTCTTGATTCGCCAGACCCATTGTATTAGCTGTCAGTCGGGCCTCTTCATCAGCAGATGTGCCGATGTTAGGCAAGACAAGCATTCCCTCTTCTTCAGCAGATGTATTGATGTCAGGCAAGACGGGCATTCCCTCTTCAACATCATCAGATGCATTGATGTCAGGCAACACAGGCATTCCATGCTGCTGCTGCTGTTGCTGATCCTGCTGCGCGTCTTGGTTCTGTTGGACCTCTTCATCAGATGCAGCTACATTATTGTCGTCAGGCATTCCATGCTGTTGCTGATACTGTTGCGCGTCTTGGTTGTGTTGCATAATGAATGGGGGAGCACCTGCCTGATGATTCACAACAATTCTCTCAGTAGATGAAATCCGAAGAGATGAAGCACTGTCAAAGATATAAACCATGTTACTGTCATTGCCATCATATTCAGCCACAAGTTTTGCTGTCAGTAGCTCAATACTCTCAGAAATCGATGCGGCCTCTACATCAGACAGATCAAGTGTTGGTCTTAAAACCTCCATGACTTGCTGAACTGTATCATGATTGACTGTAAACACAAAATCATCACTGATATACCTTATCCTAACGAAACCGATTATCATTGCACCGCCCCTCATTAGTCCAATCATTTGTCCTCCTAATGTGAATCTCACACGCCCTCTGTCGATTTCCCTAGCAGACGGCAGTAGCAATACATCCCTCTGATCACTCACAGGAACACTCACATTCGGATCACTCGGTGCAAGAAATGGATCATTCAAGAGATCAGTTGCAGTAGTTACAACAGTTGTAGGAATCAGACACCTCCGAATGAACTTCTTAAGCTGTTGATCTTTCACTCTTTTTAGTTCAGCAGGCATTACACGTGACCCAACCGGCCTCCTCTCCACATCTTCCTTAGTCACCATCTGTAATACGCACATCCCAAAATAGTATATCTCAGACCGCGAAACATCAAAAAGATCAGCACTAGTTTCAGGAGTAAGTGGTGCACTCCAACCCATAAATGCAGCTTCATTCAGATCTCCTAGCTTAACTACACCTGTTTCTCCAACAACAATGTTTTCACACCTAATATTATGATGAATAATCGCCGGATCTCGTTCGTGAAGATAATGTAACCCTTCAAGAATCTGTCAGACACCAAATCTTGATTATAGGCAATGCAGTAGCATCTAAAATCAAGTGATTCCTGGTAAAATCTCTCAAATTACAAGAATATAACTCAGTAATCATGTCATACGTGTTCGAATTTGAATCAACCCAAGAATCGTAGCATTTCAGTATACTAGCATGGTCAGAGTCCATCAAATCTTGGACTTCATCATTCAAACCATCAAAATTTTCCTCTGTTATATTCTTCTTAATCCAAGCAATGACTCTGTTATTAACCCTGTCTAATCCCTTGTAAACTACTTTCGATACATCTTGATCAATGATGTCATTGTACTTTGTGTATTGCCTTATCGTACCATCGTCTCCATGTGAACTCGAAGCCGCCATTACTAGTTAATAACAACAGCAAAACAGAACTAAAGTTGAGGAATCAAGTTGATTCTAATGGATGAAATTTTTTTATTGTGCTTGAAGGAAAAAACAGAAGGAAATTTTGGAGTAGTACGTGGAAATTGAATGAGTTGATGATGAAATGAATTAGAATGGTAGTGTAGAAATGTAGAAGGGTATTTATAATGGTAAGTGTTTGGGTTGTTACTTGTATACAAACCATAATATATACAAACCGATTAATGTTTGATTTATCCATTTGTTGTAGTTAGTTAAGTCAGTTATCAAGATCAAGAAATAGAAAATGCCTTTTCTTGATTTTTATTTTTTAATTATGATGAAATGAATTTTTATTATGATGCCTCTACTTTGTTTTATTGAAGCCTATAATTATTCTATTTCTTTTTTCTTTGAGTACGTACTATCCAACAAGTTGAGATGCTCTTTAGAGAGAAGATTGTCCGGTTTGACATCAATACGGTTTGGTTTGGTTCGAGAAATGTCAAACCATATTTTTACGACTTGGTTTGGGTTATGTCCCAAATCGGACCGTGAACATTCCTAAATATAATGGGTTAATATTATGTATTGACAAATGTAAAAGTCAAAGTGTTACAATTAAAAAAACATGAAGGACGTATAATAATAATTGACACTGTCAAAACGGTTTGACAGTTCGGTTTTGGTTCGGTTTGAAATCGGTTCGGTTTGAAATCGGGTCGGTTTGAAATCGGTTCAAATGTCTTACGGGTCGGTTTCGGTTCGGTTTAAATAATTATCGGTTCGGTTCGGTTTCGGTTTATTCTTGAACGGTTTAAATTCGGTTCGGGTTCTAAACGGTTCGGTTAGTAAACGGTTCGGTGCAAACGGGTTGCGGTTTGTTAACGGTTCGGTGTAAACGGTTTTTAACCCGGTTTAAATTCGGTTCGGGTTGTAAACGGTCCGGGTTGTAAACGGTCCGGGTAGTAAACGGTTCGGTGCAGACGGGTTGCGGTTTGATAACGGTTCGGTGTAAACGGTTTTTATCCCGGTTTAAATTCGGTTCGGGTTGTAAACGGTCCGGGTTGTAAACAGTCCGGGTAGTAAACGGTTCGGTGCAGACAGGTTGCGGTTTGTTAACGGTTCGGTGTAAACGGTTTTTATCCCGGTTCAAACAGTTTCGGTTTAGAAACGATTCGGTTCTTTTTTGGTTCAGTTTCATTTTAGTTCGGTTTATAACTGGTTCGGTTCGTTAACGGGTTCGGTTCTTCTACGATTTAACATTACTTGGATAGGTTTTATTTCAGCTTTACTAAATTACAGTTCGAGTCTGGTTTTGATTCAAAAAACCGGTTTTTTATCGAGTCGTTTGGATTTGGGCAATCAAACAGTTTTGGTTTGAAATTTTATACTACTTTCTAACTTTTTGCTAGTTAACAAGTTTTATATCAAGTCGAGACTTCATCACTTCATATTGAGGCATCATATTATATGCAAATTCTCATTAATTTTATAAATACATATCATGTTATGTATTTAGTTTAGCCATACTGATCTTACTAGTTTATTAGGAAGTAGATTATAAAAGTTTAGTGCATTAATGTATTATTGTTTTACTATCAGATTATTATCTGCTTCTTATTTGATCATTTAGTTAATTAATAATGTCATAATCATGATTTGATGAGTAATTGTGACATCGAAATTTTCAATTTGGTATTCGATACTTAATTAGTCAACAAGACTGATAATTAAGACTTGTTTATCATTATATATTTGCATAAAGTTATATATTACAAAGTAGTTTGATTTGTATAATCAAATAACACATTAATGAAGAAGAAGGTAATATTGACTCTTTCAACCGATTATACATATTAACATATAAATAACATATAACCATCTCATATTCTCATAGTTAAATATTATTAGTATAAAGGGATGAGAATCATAAGATTATTATATTTTTCTATATCCTTTATTGGTTTACCCCTAAGGCTTATGTCACTAATTACTAATTAGTAATTAGTAATTACTTAATTAGACTAACAAGTTAATAAGAAAGAGTAGCGTTTAACTTGAGTCTAATAGATCAAATACTGAAATGGTATTAGTATATTACCTAGTAGGATAGTCTAGTACACTGCTAATCTGTTATGCAACTATGCTAAATTGACAATTGCTGATATAGTCATATTAGTCAATCACTCATGTAGTCATAACTCATATCTAAATAAGTAATTTGTATTTATGTACTAATCTACTAGTCAATTATACAATTTATAAGTTTACACGATTACAAGTGTATTTGCTTATAGGTACAACTAAACTGATATAAAATAACCATATAACTAATCCGTAGTACTTCTTACTCTCTAAGATATATGACGTCATTATATTATTAAACAGTGTTCGATTTTTTATTAATCGCAACGCTAGACATTTACACGCTAACCGATTCACATTTTATAATTTAAAGAACTTAATATTTTAATGTGTGTGTTAAAAAAAATTATAAAAGCTGATATTATGAAGGCATATTTCGTTTTATCGGGATTCGAGAAATGTAATTAGTTTTTTTTGAAGCCATGTAATTAATTAATTGTATAAAATTTCGTTTAATGTTATTAAAATAAAATTAAAAATTTTGATTTTTACAAAGTGGAAAATTGATTTCATTTTTTTGGTTGACAATTTCATCAAAATATGAAAGGTGGGAAATTTCCCTCCAAAACTAAAAGGAAAAACAAATTTTAAATTTAGAATTTAGATATTTTGGTTGTTAAATAATTAAATAATATATTGCAAAAGAGGAAAAAAAAAAAAAAAAACAGTGGTGAAACGTGAATTGAATTAGCCTGGTTAGGTCATCTCCTCTTCATTCATCATCTTCAATTCGCCGTTTTGCTCCACATCAAACACTGATTCTTCGGTTCTTCTTCTTCATCCTCAAGCGCTGAATCCTTACTCACTCTGAAGTTCTCCAGTTCTCCATCTTCAATTCTTCCTCTCCTTCAAGCCGTCACAGCTCAAGGTAATTTTCAGTTAATTTTTTTTTTTTTTCGGTTTTTTTTTCGATCTCGAGTTCTCCATTGTCGTTTTTTTTGTTCGATCTCCAGTTCTCCATCTTCAATTCTTCTTCTCCTTCAAGCCGTCACAGCTCCAGGTAATTTTCACTTAATTTTTTTTTGTTTTTATTTCGGTTTTTTGTTCGATCTCAATTTCTCCAAATGTAATTAGTTTTTTTTTCGATTTCCAGTTCTCCATCTTCAATTCTTCTTCTCCTTCAAGCCGTCACAGCTCAAGGTAATTTTTCAGTTAAATTTTTTTTTTTTTATTTCGGTTTATTTTCGATCTCGAGTTCTCTATTGTCGTTTTTTTTGTTCGATCTCCAGTTCTCCATCTTCAATTCTTCTTCTCCTTCAAGCCGTCACAGCTCCAGGTAATTTTCACTTAATTGTTTTGTTTTTGTTTTTTGTTGTTCATATAATTCCTGAACTATAGACCAGGATGGCATATACTAATCACCCTCTATTATGAATATCTAAGGGACAGTGGGAGACAAATCTTGTGGTTATAAAAGCATTAGAATTTTTGTATGGTAGGGAACCCAATAAATCATTACACTATTTCAGTTTAAAATATCATTCTAATGTTATGATCAGGTATAAACACTAAAGAATTTTTGTGTGCTAATTATAGTTTAATGCAAGTTGGTTTGTTTCCAATAGAAAGAGAATCTTGTCATTTTAATCCATTGTTTTGACTTATTGAAGTAAATTAGATAAAGCAACTACTACTAATTTTAGTAATTTATAAATCTGGTAGTGTATCACTACTAAATAGTATGATTGGTTGGAAATTTTAGTGTGAAATAGTCAACACTAATTTGGTTCAGATTAGCTGGTTTAGTTTTGGGTGCATGGTATTAAATATTAATGGTTAATTAATAGAGTTATTTTAAGTTACAGTATATGTGAAAGTAATTTGCTTGCCAATTGATTTTAGTAATAGTGCCTTATTGGCTAACTTAACAGTTGTACTTTGTCTTCTTGGGGCATATTTGGATTTAGGTTGTTGTGTTTCTGTTTTTTCAGCAATGGAGCAAGAGTTTATCGGTTTTGATGAGGATTCTACTATTCAGAATCAAGATTCTACTCAACATACCACTAGTGGTAGTAAGCGTGGACGAACATCAGATGTTTGGAGGTATTACACCTTTTTTGATAAGATGGTTGGTCTTGCGCCGATAAAATATGCTCGATGCAATGTTTGCGGTAATGAATATAAAACACCAGGTAAGGCTGGTACTTCAACTTGTAAAGCTCATACTAAGACATGCATGGATAAAAATCCACACCATCCAGGAAATCATGAAATTGGTGTTGAGCTCCCGTTTAATCAAACTCGTCATTTACAATTGCTTGCTAGAGCTATAATTTTGCATTCTTATCCTTTAAGTATTGTGGAGCATCATGGCCTTAGGGAAGTTTTTACGAATCTGAATCCCAACGTGAACCATGTGTGTAGAAACACTATTTTGAAATATTGTATTGCTGAGCATGATAAGTTTAAGTCTTTGTTGTTGCAATCTTTATCTGGAATTGAAGGTAGAGTTAGCTTCACTTGTGACTTGTGGACAGCATGCACTAATCGAGGTTATCTCACTTTAACGGCACATTATGTTGATAAAGATTGGTGTCTTAGGTCTAAAATTCTGAATTTTCGTTATTGTGGTCCTCCTCATACTGGTGTTGAGGTAGAAAAATTTGTGTTAAAACTTATTGGGGAGTGGAACCTTCAGGGTAAAGCTTTTGCAATGACTGTTGATAATGCTCGATCCATGGATGTTATGGTTAACCTTTTGAAGAAAGATTTAATGTTGACTTCTCCTCTTCCTTGTAATGGTAAATTTTTTCATATTCGATGTTCAGCTCATGTCTTGAACATTATTGTTCAAAGAGGTTTAAAAGAAGTTGATAGTAGTGTTCAAAAATTGCGTGAGGTTTGTAAATATATTGATTCTTCAGACTCTAGACTCACTCAATTTGAGCATGCTCTTCATGAGGTTAACTGTGTGTTTAATGGAAAGTTACGTCTTGATGTTGTGACTCGTTGGAATGCCACCTATACGATGCTCCGAAAAGCTTTAGAAGCAAAGGAAGCCTTGAAATTGGTTATCGATAGGTTTATGGGTTATGAATTCAAACTTTCGGATGATGAATGGGATACCCTTACTAAAATATGTAATTTCTTAAAGCCATTTTATGAAATCACTGTGTTATTTTCTGGTTCAGAATATCCTACTGCAAATTTGTATTTCGCTAGTGTTTTAAAAATTGAGCACACAATAAGTAAAGCGCATATAGACCCTAAACTTGCACCCATGGCAAAAGTTATGCTTGAAAAGTTTGAGGGCTATTGGGATGAATATAGTTTGATCCTTTCAATTGCTATTGTTCTTGATCCACGCTATAAGCTTGTTCGAGTGACGAAGATGTTAAAAGTGCTTTATGTTGATGAGGCATGTGTTGAAAAGGCGAAGGTAATTAAAGATGCTCTTTTGGAGTTGTACAACTTTTATTATTCTATGTCTTTCGGTGTTACATCAAGTACAATTGTTCCACCCTCCATCCCAGCTGTTATCGATAAATCAAATAGTCACTTGGATGATGACATATTCAAGGTAATCAATTTCTGTTTATTGTGGTTTACAAAATTAATAATTGTATGTTTTAATTTTTATTATTTAATAAAGCATTTTGTTTGAACTTTTCTAGTATGTTGATGATGATGATGATGAGGATGGCCCATCAAATCGGCCATCGATGGAGATTGATTCTTATTTGTGTACTCCTCGGCAACCAATTTATGAAGGGCAGAAATATGATGTTCTCAAGTATTGGGAATCTCAAATTAGTGTGTACCCCATATTAGCTGTTATGGCTAGGGATGTTTTGGCCATTCCTATTACATCGGTAGCCTCTGAGTCTTCTTTTAGCATGGGTGGTCGTATTTTAAACAAGTATAGGAGTGCGCTTTTGCCTAAGAATGTTGAGGCGTTGGTTACAACACAAAATTGGTTACGTGGTTATGATTGTGATATTGAAGAAGACGTCCTTGACATTGGTAAAGAAGTGATAGATGAAAGTTTTGCATCTAGTTAAGATATGGAATTGTGGTTCAGGCTTTTGCTAAAATGTTTTAATCTCATAGAACAAATATTAATAGTTTTAATCACATTACATTATTGATATTTTGTTCCTTATTTGTCTTGAATTATTGGTTATTATTTTTGTTGTAGTTATATAATTCTACTGTAATGAGAGTCATCAAACTAAAAAAAAGTAGTAACGATTTGCTTGACAAATATTAAGAGCATTCTCACTGGCAACACAGGAACTGATAAAAGAAAGTAGAAGTTAATAGCCCGTTTCACTTTTATCTTGACCCTGACTTGACCTTTACCCGCAACGTACTCGCCCCGCTAATGACCCGCATTGACCCGCCCAATAACCACTCCTAGTAGTAAGTGGTTTGTAAATGGTTTGATTTATAAGCGATTCGGTTCATAAACATTTTGGTTTATAAGCGGTTCGGTTTATAAACGGTTCGGTTAATAATCAGTTCGGTTTATAAACGGTTCGGTTTATAAACAGTTCGGTTTATAATCAGTTCGGTTTATAAACGGTTCGGTTTATAAACGGTTCGGTTTATAACGGTTTTTATGGCAGTTCAAACGGTTTCGGGTTAGAAACGGTTCGGTTCATTTTCGGTTCGGTTTCCTTTCAGTTCGGTTTAGATTTTGGTTCGGTTCTTAAACGGTTTAACGTTACTCGAATCGGTTCGGTTTCGGGTTCACTAAAATGCGGTTCGGGTCGGTTTTCGGTTTAAAAAAAGCGGTTTCTAAACGGTTCGGTTCTCATTCGGATCGGTTTGAATCGGTTCGGTTTCCCCGGTTCGGTTCGGTTTTTGACAGTACTAATAATAATAGATGTTTATAATTGTTTGGGCCGATTAAAACACAAGGACAATACAAATTACAAAGAAGCCTAGCAAATTTGAATCTGCAACACATCGTAAGTAGGCCCTTAGTTTTAAACTAAACCAAGACCTTATCAGTAGATGCTAAAAATTGTGAACATTTAGAAAATAATTATTATATTCAAAGGGTTTAATTTACAACTTATTAACATTAAGCACAATATAGTGAAACAAGTCAAGCAATATTAAATGGACCTACAAAAATATAGGTTAACCACTCCAAATTTTAACCAAGTCTAACGAACAACAAAGTATATTTCTATTCATAATATAGCTTTTCTTATCTAAAATGATACTTCGTATGATGTTGACTATGATGTCGATTTCCTTGATTAGAATGGATACAATAAAATCAAAATGAAATTGTCGTATTTTTATCCTTTTTATTGGATCATTAATAGAAAAAATAAAATTATAGAAAATCCAATTCTTCATTATTCACGTCAAAGGTGATAAAACTGACAATATAATTGATAATTTTGTAAATTAGCATGGACTCATACTAATTCATTTTATACGAAGTATTATTTAATCAATCAAATTCCTTTTTTCCAAACTTTATTAAAATTGTACTCCTATAAAAGATAAATATTACGTAAAACTTTATTATAGTATTTAAATACGAAAAAAAGTGATAAGATAAAAAAAATACACTAAACCATCACATCACCAACTCCATCAAATTGCTTGGTAAGTAAGAGTGGTGGTATGTTAATCTATGAATATAATCTAAATTATCCAAATATACCGTTCAACAAAATCCAAACTTTCTAAATAAGACTAAGATTTTCATAGACGACCATAATCAACGGTTCCCGCGTATATAAAGACGTCAACTACAGTACTAACTTTAGTACATCATTCACTTTATTTTATTTGGACTAACCACTGACTATTAAACACATTCATGAATCAGGATCTATTTCAACCAATAATTCATCATTTATATCAAACTTTCCAACCATTATTGAAACGCTTTATATTCATCCATTCCTCCATTATTATTCTTCTGCAACCCTTAAAAAATACCCACCATTCATTCATTCATTCATTCACTCAATCACCTACTCCATAATCTAAGGACCTCCCATTTTATTTCCACCATTATTATTCATTCATCTCTCATTTTCTCATTTTCATCTATTACGTACACAAATGGCACCCGAAATCGAAACCGGAACCGACATCGACACCGAAACAACTCATATCTTAGTGATCCCATACCCAGCACAAGGTCATATGATACCATTATTAGATCTCACGCACCACTTGCTCTCCACGCGCCGCCTTACCATCACCGTCGTAACCACCCCTATGAACCTTCCTCTTTTATCTCCTCTGCTTACTCTTTTTCCTTCCAATATTACCCCTCTTGTATTACCCTTTCCTTGGGCTCCCGGAATTCCCGCCGGAAAAGAGAATACCAAGGACTTACCGCCGGCGAGTTTCCGGCAGATTATACCTGCTCTGGCGAAATTGCGGGATCCGTTAAGTCACTGGTTCGAATCTCATCCGAGTCCTCCTGTTGCGATTATTTCAGATATGTTTCTTGGTTGGACGCATCGTTTTGCGGTTGAGTTGGGGGTTAAACGCGTCGTTTTTTCTCCTTCTGGGGGTATGGCTTTATCTGTGATTTACTCCCTTTGGAAGGGTATGCCTCAAGGAGGGGATCAAAACGGTGACGTTTTGTTCGAGGATGTGCCGAATTGTCCGAAATACCCTTGGTGGCAGCTGTCCCCGGTTTATAGGTCTTACGTGGAAGGGGACCCGGATTCAGAGTTGATTAAGGAAGGGTTTTGGGATGACATGGCTAGTTGGGGGCTTGTGGTTAACTCTTTTGATGGGTTGGAAAGAGTTTATTTGGACCACTTGAGAGGTAGTATGGGTTATGATGATCGGGTTTGGGATGTGGGCCCGTTGGTTCCCGGTAAGGGGTACAAGGATCGAGGTGGAGCTAGTTCGATTGAGGTGGATAAGATGTTGGCTTGGCTTGACACGTGTCGAGACAATGAAGTGGTGTATGTGTCGTTTGGAACCCAGGCTATATTAACAAGTCAACAAATTGAGGTGATCGCTGAAGGACTAGAAAGAAGTGGTGTTCGATTTATTTGGCCAATAAGGGACCATGTCACGACTAGGCAAATGGAAGGAGACCGTGAGACGGTCATGAACGGTTTTGAGGATCGTATGGCAGGTCGAGGGATTGTCATTAGAGGGTGGGCTCCACAAGTTGTGATTTTAAGGCATCGGGCCGTTGGCACATTCTTGACTCATTGTGGGTGGAACTCGATTCTTGAAGGGATTATGGCTAGTGTAAGATTGCTTGCTTGGCCATTTGGTGCCGATCAATTTTCAAATGCAACATTGCTGGTGGACTACTTGAAAGTTGGAGTTAGAGTTTGTGAGGGATCTAACATGGTTCCTAATCCATGTGACTTGGCTCGAATCTTAGCCGATTTGGCTTATCAAGACGAAGCTAGTAGACAAAAGATCATCAAATTACAAAGTAATGCATTAGAGGCTTTAAGTGAGACTGGAAGTTCTTCCAAAGCCCTATCTAGGTTTGTTAACGAGTTATGTGAGCTAAAGACTAGTAGGCCTAAAAGTCACATCATTTCTCATAACAATCACGTTGAATGATTTGAATGCTTAATGTAAGACTATTATGTATTTATGTGATAATGTAAGTTAGTTGGTTAAAGTTATGAATTTTTTGAGGACGGATAATATAAATCTGTAATTGGTTACATCATTAATTCATTATGTAATAAATTAATAATAAATTACTTTATGGTAATAATTTTTTATCGGCATTGATTTTTATTATGAGATAATTTTATTTGTTCAAAATCGTGGGCATTAAGTTTTTCAAAATAAAAAAAAAAAATCCGTTTGTTATGAAATATTGTGTGGATATCCATTATCCTCTTTTATCATTTGGGAATGTTCTAGATCTAGGATTTATTGTTATTATAATATAGATTGATCTATTCTCTCCTCAATATATTCATTTCATATTCCCTTTATTTCACAAAACGTTATCAACACCAAACTCTACCTCTAGCTAGGAATCGTGTTTTAGGTTAGTGATTCACCATGACGCGGCAAGTTTGGTCTACGCAACATCGAGATAAGTATTTATCGTTTTATTTGCTTTTTCGGTAACAATCTAATACGATTTATTGATTTCAAATATTTAATTCTTGATATGTTGATTTTAGCATGTTTTTTATTTAAAGCAAATTTATGTTGTTTATATGATCGATGTTGTTAAAATTGGTGATGTAATTTATTTGTGGTTGTCACATAGCTATAATGAGTTTTGGAAAGTTAGGTTTAGTTTTTTTTTTCCTACTCTTCCGATACTCGCCAATTCTAATTGATAGATTGTTGGTGGTTTTTCTTTTCATGGGCCTTTATTTCATTGGGTTATTCAAGAGCACATGTATTTTGATTTCTTTAATTTGATGCATTGTATGATTTGTTATACAAGGAGATTGTGATAGAGGTTTTGTTGTTTAGACTTCGAATACTCTAAATTATTTTATGCTTATTTCGGCTAGTTATGTTTACTCGTTTATGGATATGTGAATTAATTTCTAACATATTAGAGAGTACTTTTATAACTCGTTTGGCAAGTTTTGTTCGTTGAGTTCATGATTCTGCTTTTGAAGTCATTAAAGTTTCCACGCTCTGAATTGGAAACGAGAATAATTAGTCCACCCTTTTAGTATTAGTACTGCCAATGTTCATGTTGTGGTAATTTTATCTAGCTCATTTTAATATTCCATCCAGGCATGAAGATGTTTATTTTGTTTGTTTATTATGTTTCTACGATAATTCGTCAACAGTTTGCTATTAACTTGATATTATATACTGCTGCATCTATTACTTCAATTTTATGTGATTGTGTTTCTTGTGATGAACAATATATATATATATATATTTATATATATTTGGTGATATATTGTTAAAGGTATTTTGTTTTGCAATAATCTCAAATAATTACATGTTATACAGAGTACTACTCTCTACCAAGAGGGACTTTATATGCTTTGGTCTAATTATATTTTAATCTTGAAACTTTAAATTCTAGTTTTGTTTGAGTAGTCGTAGCTATATTCACTTTGTGATTTATCTACTATGTAGCTTTTTATAAATCCTAGAACGTACAATAATATGATATCTAATTAATATAGGATACAAGTATACCTTATGTCTCCCTCTTATACCTTATGTTTCCCCAATCCGCCATTAAGGTAACTGTTTGCTTATCGATGCTTATTAGGATTACAATATTTTATCACATTGATAATATAAATGTTTATTTGATGATTATCATTATCCCAAAATTGGTTACATTTTAGATATTGGAACTTTTTTTTGCATTAGGTTTTGTTTCTAATTAGCCGCCAGTATTATAATTAGGAAAATTTTTAAATTACCACCCAAAAATGTATCCACTTTCAAAATAACCACCCGTTTAATTTTTTTAAAAAATTACCACCCCTTAAAATAAATAATCGCTCAGATTACCACCCATTTCAAAATTCCGGTGAGTTTTCCGTCTGTGAGCCCCACCTAACGGCTACTGACTACTATTTTGACCCTTTTGACTGATTTCCCCCCGATTTTTCTCTTTAAAATAGCTCTCCCAACTTCCATTCGCATTTCCTTCACCAAATTCCACTATAATTGGGGTAAATAGGTAGAATTGGGGGTTTTATGAAATTAGGGTACTTGGGACAATTCAATTGGGCATTTTCAATAATTAGGATTCCTGTTGCTAATGAACCTGTTTAACACCTCCACTACTTCTGGAAGCTTCTTGTTCTTGATTCTCGCTTCCATTAACGATTTCAATGCTTTGACATCATTCGGGTTCGCCGCAATAGATTACTCGAGCTTTTTTTCTCTCTCCATGCTAAAACTTACATCTTCTCCTTTCTCCGACGTCTCAACTATAGGCGGTGCAGCTGGCTCAGCTCTTGCAATCAACGGCCTGTAACCCAACCTAGAGAAGAAGATTGCGGTCGCAACGACAATTGAAAGAGGGGTTTTGAGGAGAGAGAAAGGGTTCATGCTTCAATTGATTTGGGGATTTTCTTAAATTACGGTTCCTATTTTAATTGAATTGGGGGTTTTCTGAAATTAGGGTGCCTACTTCAATTAAATTGGGGTTGTTATGAAATTAGGGTTCCTTCCTCTTTCCTCTTTGCTTGAAGTGTTTTCGTTGAGTGCGGCTCCTTCCTCTGCCTCCCATGGTGGTTTCAGGTAAGAAGGAGGAGAGAGAAAGTGACTCATTTGCAATCAATTACCCAACAATTACTCCTTTGCAAAACAAACAAAAAATTGGAGTTTTAGTTTACTAATTTAAAGAGTTGTTGAGAATTTATGAAGAAAGAGGGAGAAAAAGGTGGATTTTTCAGAAAATTAAAGAAGAAATTGAATGAGGAAGGGGTTTGGTTGAGTTCAATAGTATATAGAGAGAGTGAAGTCGAGATAAATGAACAAAAAAGGAGGGAAATAAGGTAGGTAGGGCCCACATTAGAGAAATCCACCGGAATTTTGAAATGGGTGGTAATTTACAAAAAAAAAAATTAAATGGGTTGTTATTTTGAAAATGGATACATTTTAGGGTGGTAATTTTTCCTTATAATTATTAAGATTGTAAAATGAAGAGCTAGGATATTCTACATCTACTTCTTGTATTATGTGTGGTAGTATATATAGTATGTACTCTACTATAACCCTCACCATATAACATGATGCTTCCTTGTGAGTTGGGATCCATTCGTTATTGTAGTTAAAGTTTTGTTTACTACTTCTCATATATTCTTGTGATCTATGTATATATGCTTTTATATACTAGCATATACAAGCTGACATGTGATAATAGTCTTGGATTGGAACATTTCTATATTTTCTTCACCTTTTAATATTCAAATTATATCCAAGTATAGATAAAGATATTTGTTACAATTTTGCAAAATATAAGACATGCATGAAACTTGTTTAACCTTCTCGTTTGGACCCATATATTTGGAGTGACTAATACTTATTATTTAAATGCTATTGTCATAACTTGTTTGATGCTCATACATTCATTTGGTTTGATTTAATAAATGAGATGAGAGTCTATACATATGAGCAAGACTAATATTTGTTACATATGAGCAAGACTATTATTATAAATTTATTCTCTCCTTAAAGCCATGAGAAAGAATATATAAAAGGCTAGACTTTGAATAGTATTCTAGACGACACCGAACCCTGGGTGGATGTGAGTTGGTAAATCATAAATTACTAGATTTACTCACTCCCTGAAGTAAATGAGAAATTGGGATTGAAAGGATAACAAACATGTTTGCATGATGTTTTCTTAATTATGATTCATTAAATAAGAATTGCAAAAACATGATGTGCGGACCTAAAATTCCCTAGATTTATAAAGAGTACTCACACACATAGACTTAAAGTTTCTTGAACTTATAAAGCCCAAAACCCTTAAGAATAATACAAAAGTTTAGAAAAGTTGACATAATGTCTTTTAATTTGGTGGTTATTTTAGATATTACACTTTGGGTGAGTATTAATGATTCATAGATTACTAGATTCTTGATTAAGATGATACATGCATGTTTTCATGATGAATATAATTCATGCAAAATTATACGATCTGCAAATTAAACATGATTGCACAATATTTATTTGAGCAAGAGATAGATGACATTGTGGGAAACTTACTTGTAGAAATATATTTATTATGCCCATACTTATAGAGATTATATAATTGGGCAAGAGCTACGAGTAAGAGTTTATAAGAATAATTTTATTATGCTTAATACATGCATTGCTAAAAGAATTTATGCCTTAAAGGTGAAAGAGATTTAAAGGTTGTTGGATTCATTTCATGCCCCACATGCAAGGATTAGGAGGATATTGTATTTATTTCATTATTTTATGTAATCCTTGCACATAAATAATAAAATATATTGATGGTCAGTTTGGTACATACATTAACTTAAATATATATTAACGTTTTATGTAATAGAAGTGACAACATGTTAATTAATATATTTCAAAATGATACCATCCTGAAGATGGATATAAATAAATGTCAGATCATATACATATACTAGTTGTAAATGCTCCAATTAAAATTAATGTCCCAGAAGGACAACATCAATTACTGATGAACCTATAGCACGCTTGAAGCATGATAGATCAATAAGTTCTACAGATAATTAAGTATCTTCGAAAAGAAAAGGAGCCACTATTGACAATAACAAATTTAAGGAAGTGATAAATTCCATTACATATCTAGAAGAAATATTTTTCAGTAAAATTCTTATGTTCCATGATTATATAAAAGACTCTAGAAGAGTATGAAATATCCAACAAGATTAACATGCATCAAGTTATAGTCAAAATTCCAGCAGAGTATGAGTAATTATTGGATAAAATATTAGTTGATTGTCTTGCCAATTGTATAAAGAAACACATATTGGTGTTCTAATATCACATCATATTCATGGCCATGCATAAAGTAATTTTAATAAAATGATCACTAGTGTTGGAAAACTGACCAGAGTTCAAAATAAGAGAAGTGACTGGATGTGATAATTAAATTAGGCCATCCGGGTTTAATAATTACCCGTCATGAAAACTTGAAGTTTCACTTGATATGAAAGAAATTGTGTGCTGACGCTCTCTCATGTTAGATATATAAAATGAATTGAATGGCAAGACATAACGTTGAGATTGAGCTATATTTAGATTGTGATTTAATAGTTT